GATCATATGACAGGTTTATTGTGTGACAGGTATATTGTCTTACGTGTAGGTTTGTGTGACATACAGGCAGTGGCGTAGCGAGGTCGGGTGTCACCCGGTGCGGCACTTAATGATGTCACTCCCTAGAGGCGCAGCGACCCTTCCCGGGGACAAATTTTCGATTTGCACCCCCCCCCCCCTCAAACTTTCGATTTGCACCCCCCCCTCAAACACTTTTCTCTATATATTTTGTCACCCCCCCTAAATGGTGTCACCCGGTGCACCCCCGCCCCCCCCCCCTTCCTCGCTACGCCTCTGCATACAGGTTTTCTGCACTGTCTTTCCCCCCCCCCCCCCCCAAGCACGTCCACCGCCCCCCCCCTCCGCCCCATATATGCTCTATATTGAAAAAATATACTTTAACCACTTTAAGCGACCCCACCCCTCCCGTCGACCCAGGAGAAAAATGTCTGAAAGAAACACTGGTGACATTGTGTGACTTGTGGTGTGAATGCCGATCATTGTGACGTCATGCTAATTTGGTCTTAGTTCAATTAACTTTACACAGCAAGTAGTTGTTAGCTGAAACGTCCCATGACAATTTGTGTTATGACTTTATGCAGATTAGCTGTCGGGTTTTCAAGTTGTACACAGTTGTTTGTGATGTTTTAAGCATGTCTGCAAGAGACGTTTTCATTATGCTTATCTATGACGTTTTACGCAATATCCAATGACGTTTTATACCTGCCTGTAAGTTACGTTGTGCACATGACTATAAATGACGTTTTATGTCTGCTCGTTAGTGACGTTTTACGTATTTGCTGTTAGGCCTATCGTTTTATACCTGTCTGGTAATGCAGATTCGGGTCTCTCAATTTCCGCTCATAAACATCGCGATGTTAACTTACCTCGGGTTTGACAAATGCCTGCATGTTCCTCTATTTTAGACAGTATTTTGCAGTCAGGGCCGGCGCTACAGGCGGTCGCCTAGGGCGCGATGCCTAGGGGGGCGCAACTTGTTTAATCGCTATTATCAAAAAGTACTTAATAGTTAATAACTTTTATAAAGGAGTAGCGATCTATTTCGGCATTCAGGACGAATTATCAATTTTGCACCCCACCCCAAAATTAGGTCTATATAGGCCTATATTTATTCGCGATGGTGAAAATGCAACCCCACCTTCCTTATTTGGAAAGGTCGGGGCGCTTTTTACCAGCCACTTTGCCTTTTTAATTTTGGTGTCACATAATTGATGTAGAAAACGATTAAATAAAGTTCGTAATTTAAATTTCGAACATTTCAAACGGTTATCTAATTTGAATAGGGCTTGTAAGTCTCGTTTTCTCTGACTTTGAATTAGAAATCTGTCCTGGTGTATAGAGTTTTGTAATGACGGGGTGTTCAAAGTATTGTAATTGTTTGGTAAGTTTTGATGAATCGTTTAGATTTGTTAGTAACGGCGGAAGGCTGTTGCTGATATGGTATGATATAGGTATATAGTATCGAAGTGTTAAAGTGTCTTAATTTTTATTCGGCTGTTATGTAAATGAAGGCAAGGTCTAATGGAATTTGATTGGTAAAAGAGAAATGATAATGTGGGTGATGAAGTATCGTAGTTCTGGAGTTCGGGAGTATTGATTCTTGTGGTATTAAGGTATCGAATTATATTGACTGTTAAAGTGTGGTAGTAGGTTAAGTGAAATCGTTGTTGATTGGGAGTACCGTTAAACGAGTTGGTGTTGTAGTTATGGAGCATCGAGTCTAGTTATGTTTAAGTATCGAAGTTTGATATGTGTTGTGAATGTAGTAGATTATATCGAGTAGTCGAGTTAATCGTAAGTTAGATGATTTCAATTAAGTACGGAACACACAACAAAGAAAGGTGGGCGTTCTCTAATTGAAAATCTTTAGTTTTTTTAGGAATCTATATTACCACTCTTAAAAGTATCAATATATAATATTAAAAAGGATGGGATTTAAAACTAACATTAAACTTTGTTTTTTCTCAAATTATATTTTTTTATATTTAATCAATAATTCTAGCAACGTCTAAATCAGTTACATGTGTTTGGAATGGATTATTTGAAAGGTGTCCCCCTTATTTAGGGGATCCAAAATATATATCATGTAGGTTAAAACTAGATACATTTATGAGTCTGTCATCAGAATTGAATAAAAGTATATTGTAATAAAGCTAACATGTTTAGACTTTCAAACAAAACCTACAGTTAAGTATTCAATGAGTAAAATATTTTCTTTTTACAAGGTTACATTGCTAATATAAAAGATTTTTGTAATTATTACGTTATGAAATATAAAGCGTTTTATTGTGTTTTGCAAGCATGTCTTACTTACACACTGGTTAATTTAGTTATTCTTGTGAAAGTTATTTCCTGTGAATAAAATTTTGGAATTCGGATTTTCAAATGGGAGATAATTCGTTGTTTAACTTTACATTCATTTAAAATTCCTGCACCTTAGGTTGACCGCTTACATATAAATACAACTTTAAGTTATTATTTGCTATTGTAAAAATTATATAGAGCTTAAGTTCTAGGTAGGTTTTTTAGCATTGTCAAGTTGAAAAACAAATACACCAGTAGCCGATGTAGATTGCAATACTTAATATTAGTAAACATACAGTCTTAGTCGTAAATTAAACATCTAATTAATAGTCTTTTCATATTTTTCACCCTCTCCTAAAGGATCCATGTATAACAATTTTAGGCTGGAATCTATAACATTTCTAACCTTTTATTTTTCAAAAACAAAAAAATCGTTTCATAATCACTCAATATAGACATCTTACAATTATAACTAAAGACAGTCAGTATTTCTTCCAGAATTTTTTCTCCGGGGGGGGGGGGGGGGGGGGCACTTGACATTTTCGGGGGGGGGGGGGGCGGTAGACTTTCTTCGGGGGGGGGGGGGGGCGGACACTGTTAAAAGTATATATTTTCTATATAAATTATATAAATTTCATTTCGTTCGGGGGGGGGGGGCGGTAAAAAAAATTCAGGGGGGCATCGCCCGCCCCCCCCCCCCCCCGAAGAGATGCCTGGAAGAAACTCTGAAGACAGTCAAGCTTAAAACAGGTACGTTCCGTTTTGGAACTCAACTTGGGAGGACTGCATAGAGCCCAACACTACAAGAATATATTTTTTGCGGTTTTTTCCCCAGACTTTTTTCTCCCGAGAAGGGAGGGGGAGCACTTAAAATTTTATACGGGGGGGGTCTATGTCGTAAAGTACAAAGTAGACTCGTGGACTTAGCAACAACTTCAATAAAATGAAGGAATTAGTACAAACTTTTGAGACGAAGGAGGCAAGTAAAATTTGATTTTGATGTCTACTGATAACGTGTATGCAAGTGATAATAAATTAATACGTCACTTTTAATTAATTGTTTTCTTACACATATGTTTTAGTAATTAATTTGTGTGAAAGCGGGCGTTTTAAGAAGTTTTGCCAAGTCGCTAAATAACCTGGAGCCGGCACTGCCTGCAGTATTACCTCAATACGTTTTAAAACAGTCTGTAGATAGAACTATAACTAAATGGGAAACAATTTTTGTACAAACAGTTAGGATGACAAGGTCCAAATATCTTTTATTTAAAAAAAAATGTGGGTTAGGCTAAAAAAGTTAGTTTTTTGGCTTTTTCAATGGATCCCCATTCCCTATCTCTTATCACCTTCATGTATCACCATCACTTGTCACCTTCTTGTTTCACCATGACTTGTCACCACAATTTATCACCATCTCTTGTCACTTTCCTGTATCACCATCGCTATTCACCGCACTGTATCACCATCGCTTGTCACCACACTGTATCACCACACTGTATCACCATCTCTTGTCACTTTCCTGTATCACCATCGCTATTCACCGCACTGTATCACCATCTCTTGTCACCACACTGTATCACCATCTCTTGTCACGATACTGTATCACCATCGCTTCTCACCTCATGTATCACCATCTATTGTCACCTTCGTGTATCACCATTGCTTGTCACCTTCCTGTATCACCATCGCGTATCACCATCTTGTACCACCATCGCTAGTCACCACACTGTATCACCACCGCTTGTCACCACACTGTATCACCATCTCTTGTCACCACACTGTATCACCATCGCTATTCACCTTCCTGTATCACCATCTCTTGTCACCACACTGTATCACCATCGCTTATCACTACACTGTATCACCATCTCTTGTCACCTCATGTATCACCATTGCTTCTCACCTTCGTGTATCACCATCGCTTGTCACCACACTGTATCACCATCTCTTGTCACCACATTGTATCACCATCGCTTGTCACCACACTGTATCACCATCTCTTGTCACCACACTGTATCACCATCTCTTGTCACCACAATGTATCACCATCGCTTATCACCTCTTGTATCACTATCTCTTGTCACCATACTGTATCACCATCGCTTGTCACCACACTGTATCACCATCGCTTGTCACCTCTTGTATCACTATCTCTTGTCACCACACTGTATCACCATCTCTTGTCACCTTCATGTATCACCATCGCTTGTCACCTTCCTGTATCACTAACCCTTGTCATCACCCTGCATCACCATCTCCTGTCACCTCACTGTATCACCATCTCTTGTCACCTTCCTGTATCACCATCGCTTGTCACCACACTGTATCACCACACTGTATCACCATCTCTTGTCACCACCCTATACCACCATCGCTTGTAACCTTCATGTATCACCATCGCTTGTCACCTTCCTGTATCACTAACCCTTGTCACCACACTGCATCACCATCTCCTGTCACCTCACTGTATCACCATCTCTTGTCACCTTCCTGTATCACCATTGCTTCTCACCTTCGTGTATCACCATCGCTTGTCACCACACTGTATCACCATTGCTTGTCACCACACTGTATCACCACACTGTATCCCCATCGCTTGTCACCACACTGTATCACCACACTGTATCACCATCTCCTGTCACCTCCTTTAACCACAGCTACATATTATCCAGCAGGGCACAATGGCGTGAATTCATCCAACGGTAAAATGTCTTCCAAGAAAGAGAAAAAAACAGCCAAGGTGAAGGGTGGAGGAGCTGTGAAGGTCAAGGACGGACTGGTCAGATCTGTTAGCCAGTCAATAGATCAGAGAAAGTAAGTTATATCGAAATATCGAACTGTTTTAATCAATTACTACAACATATTGTATCGTTATATAAAAATATCCTGTATCTTAACCCAAAAGGTGTCAGAGCGAGAGAGAGAATTTTTTATTAAAATTAGTAATTTCGCTGTAGTGTCACCCCCCCCCCCCCCTATATCCTCATCCATTGCTACTCATCTTAAAATATTAGCAATAATATTGCTAGAATTTGCTTAGAATTGTATTATGTTTTTTGTTATGGTGTATCTCTGTTTCTCCCTCGAAGAAAAAAAATCTGAAACATTGCCCCCCCCCCCCCACCCCTGAATGTTTCAAGAGCTTCCTTTAGAAAAATGTCTGAACATAACGATTAAATGATCGAAGCTAACGCTAACTTGGCCGTTTTTGTTTTTTTCAAAACAAACAAACAAAACTTTTAGATTCTAAACGAAGCAATATTTACATTACCTGCATCTAGTCTATCTTGTCACGTCCAGGTTCGGGGAGGGGGGAGGGGGGGGGGGAGGGTCTGGACCGCACCAGACGTCCAGACGACACCCGAACAGTGTTTCATCCAGACTTATTTTCCGGGAGGGGGGCACTTGATATTTTCGGGGGGGGGGGGGGGGGGGCGGACACAGGTAAAAGTATGTTTTCTATATAAATTCCGTTGCGTTCGGGGGGGGGGGGGGCGGTAGACTTTCTTCGGGGGGGCTTAGCCTTCCCCCCCTCCCCCGAAGAGATGCCTGAAAGAAACTCTGCACCCGAACCATGTGTGCATCATACTTTTCTTTTACCCCATTCTCAGTGCTATCTACGGGAAAAGCTCCAAATTGATCAGAATTGAGGTCAGCCGGGCGGGCATACTGTCCCGTGCCTCGTTCTGGTGGATGTGGACCATAATGCTCAGCTTGTACAGACGAGGCATCAACCGATTGTTTACCTTCCGGTTCATGGACGAGGACACAGCGGAAACAAATGTCCAGCTGTAAGTAGCGAAACACACCACACACACACACACACACACACACCACACAAATACAGTCGCAGAGCTAACACCAATGTAACTTATGTTGCGATATCAATAAAAAAAATTCATATATAGGAATTGTCATGTTGCTAACTATATATAGATATAGGGCATATATATATATATATATATATATATATATATATATATATATATATATATATATATATATATATATTATTTATATGCGGATATTTATGATGTTTATGAATGTGTATGTTCGAAGTCGTTCTAGCTGTATAGAAAATCTGGAAAGTTAATCAGGTTTTGTTGACCGGGGCAGAACTCCCCCGCCTCCTCGCTTAGCTGCGCCAGTGATGAAAAAAAAAGAACCTTTTAAGCCAAATAATTACAAAGCGAAGATATTTTAACAGTATATTGAAATTTTGATCACAGCTTTTTGAAAAATCATCTTGCAATTCAGTTTTAGACACGTTAAATCTTCCTGATGATTTCCTCCCTTTTCTTCATAATAATTCCCTCCCCTTTGTTAAAATGTGGTAATAACATTTTTTTTAACCACGATTTTCTCGAGAAAACAAACCAAGTTTTAAATTATTGTTGTCTAAAACATTTCCGTGCCGTTACAATGTTTGGGCTTTGCACCTGCACCTCAAGCAGCGGTCGGGTATCTTTCATCACGTCTGCGGGCTGCCTGCTGTTTCGTTCAAAAAGGTTGAAAGCATAAACAATCAAAATATTTCACAGTATCACATTTTCACATTAGCATTTTCAGGGGAGATCACTCGGCTATTCACTGCCCAGTTATTTTGTTGGATCAGTCGTTTTTTTAATGAGAATTAGAACATTTGATTTATTAAGGGATTTTATATATTGTGAACTTTATTAATCAAGACTTACAACTTAAATCGTATTTAGATGATAATTTATTTACAAAAAATACAAAAAATTAACAGTTAGTAATTCAAGGGGGGCAACTTGATCAACTGTTGGAACAACCATACATGGGATTATGAAAAATACTATAATAAATAAAACATTTTTTTCTCTTATAAGTTTTTTTTAAATAATAATGTCAGTTGCAGTAACTCTTTTTCACTTCAAAGATTACAACTAAGATTTTTTTTAAATTGTATTTCAGTCTGGAAAAAGCTTGGGAGGAAGAACTAAGGACAGAAAAATGTCAAACTGACATGTCGCTGAGCCGGGCCATGAGGCGGGCCTTTAAAAAACATTTACTGCGGGCCGTGTTCGTCATCTCAGTCACATTCTCATTCTCATTCCTGGGATCCGTAAGTCGATATCCGCAGATATCTACAGATATTTACAGATATTTTTAGATATAAACATATATGTATAGTAATTTACACGCCTCCGTTGGTCACCAATACCACACCGTTTAAAAAAAAAAATTAAAAATAAGATACCAAAGGTATAAGAAGTTCAATCCTGGTCACTCAGGGTATTTAATTTTGGATTTGTAGAAAATCAATATTTACTGGTACAAGTGGAGGTCAGCGGTATGATAATATTGATAAAGTACCCCTTCGGATTTAAGCGCCACGTGGGCAGATGAAGTAGAGTTAATCTGTTTTTAAAACAGCACTGGTAGGGTCAAAGCGACCTCAGTTATAACGAGGTAGCACTTATACCCAATACCGAAAGGGTTAAACTTACTATCCTCCAAGAACTGGGGGGGGGGGGGTGGATGGGTCCCGTTCGGAGTCCCGATGAGGGTCTGCCCCTAACGCCCCGATCGAAATGGAATTTATATGGAGGGCATATATATATATATATACTTTTACCAGCGTCGCCCCCCCCACCCCCCCGGGAGAGGCGCTGCTCCCGTTCGTACCCAAGACACACGTTCCCGAAGGATTGTGTGGTCATCCGCCTGTGTACCCTAACGTGAGTTGGATCTAAGTGAAACCGGATGTCTTACAAAATTATGATTAGCGTGCGTACCGTCTGATAAAAATGTAACAATCGGTTTAAAGTTTTCTATAGCATTAGTAGTTATTGTTTAGGATTTTTAAATGAACTGGTTGTGTAATACACCGTCAACAAACTTGAGTCAATTTTTAAAAACTATTTGAATTAAAATTCTTGTACAACTTGCAGGCGTGCATACTTCGTTTGCTGTTGGACCACATCTCGTCTGTTGACCCAGATCTGCAGACGGGGCTCATAATAGTTGTCGCCCTTATTTTGTGCGAGTTTTGTCGTTCTTTTACTTTCTCGCTGTCGTGGAGTTTAAATTATTTGAATGGTAAGATATATTAAAAGAAAATATGAATTTATGATAAAAAAGCTACGGAGATAATGGTTTTGAATTAACATGATAATTAACAGTTAATTAAACTTTTAAAATTATTACAGGTATGCGAGGTCGGGCAGCTGCAATGGGTTTGTTATACAAGAAAATACTCAATTTGAGAAGTCTTCAAGATAAAAAGATAGGGGAGGTAATTTTTAAAAATAAAGGGAGGCTAACAAAAAATATATTTTAACATTTTTGTGAGTCAGAGTAGTTTCCCTTATGTAGACCCATCGTTTTTGTGTAGCGGTGTGTAAGTTTAAGTTAATTATATTTCGATGTGTAAATTTACAAATTATATTCATAGTAGTGTGTAAATTATATTGTTGTAAATTAATTTATCCCCAGCTAGTCAATATGTTCAGCCATGACAGCCAGAGAATCTTTGAAGCGATGGTCAATGGACCTTTTGTCATAGGAGGGCCGTTTGTGTTCTTGGCTGGTTCCATTTACCTGGGTGTTCTCATGGGAGTTTGGGCTTTAGTGGGCATTGGCACTTACATTCTTGTTTTTCTTGTTATGGTAAGTTTTTAGTGTAGGGCTTTAGTGGGAATTTGCACTTACCTACCCAAAAATTCAGAAGATTCAAAAAAGTACTACAAAGAATCTTAGACCTTAGAATATCATAATGATTGGTATCTGTATGATACTATACAGTGTATAGTATAGTATTGAATTATTAATATTGTAATTATAGCACCATCTTAAACCTGATTCATAATCTAAATTTAACTTAAACTCTGATTAGATTTAGAGACAAAAAAATGGATATCCCGATTAACTGATTAATATCACACTGCCAAAGAAAAGAAGTGCATGTTAATCTTAGTAGTGATAGTATTTTTAAAAATTACAATTATGTTTTACAATCAACAGAAATTTTTGAATGATGGCATTGAACATTTTCGCAAGCAAGCTGTCTCTTTAACTGGCCAGAGAGTAAGTCACTCAAATATTACGAGTTGTAGCCAGCTGATGATTTAACTGCTTAAAATTTAAAACTTGGAAAAGTTTAAGTGGAAATAAGATACAGCTTTAATAATTGAATATGTCATGACATTACAGGTTGGGTTAATGACAGAAATTTTGACTTGTATGAAATTAATTAAAATGAATGGATGGGAGAGAGCATTCATCAACAGAGTAACAGGTAAGATTAATTTTTTTTTTAACATTTGTTTGTATATACATATTTTATATAACATTAAAGTGACATGGAAAAAGGATTAATTCTAAATATTTCATAACATTAGAAGAAATTATACATCATCTTTAGAACTAAATCAGGTTTAACAGTTGAAAAAAATATCACAAAAAATATTTAAATATGTATTAAAAGAAATCTGATTTCTATCTATGAATTAGCTTCTAGTGCTGGTGTACTTCTGTTGAATGAGTTAACATTCATGTATTTTTCTCACTATCAGAGAGACGACAGAAAGAAAGTAAGGCTTTAGAAGGTGGTGCTCTGCTGAAGAGTGTTGTGACATCTCTAGCACCAATGATTCCTGTCATAGCCTCTGTCTTCATGTTTCTGGGGTATATTTTGTCAGGCAATCACTTAACTGCAGCCAGGGTAAGCTAAATCTGTATTCAAGTGGATTTTATTGTTAGATTTCTGTTATTTATTGATTACCAAGAGGTAAAATTTGATGCTTTTAATTGGTTACTGTATGTTGTTCATTAGTAGTGGCCTAAACAAAGAGGTGCTAGCTGAACATTTGAGGCCCTTAGGATATTTTACATTTTTACTTTAAGACATTATTTACTTTATTTAAAATACCTTCAAATAGATATTCTCACATCTCCAATTCCAACTACAAAGCACCAATCTTAAAAATACTAAAATCTTGATTCTTGACAGTATTTAATTCTCATTTCAGTTCTTAATTATTTATTTTTTTAATTATATTTCTGCTTGTTTACAATTTACTCTTTTAAACTTTCCTAGGCTTTTACTGTTATATCAGTGTTTTACTCAATGAGTTTCACCCTTGTCACATCACTGTACGGAGTGCAAACACTCATTGATGTTTCTGTGGCTATGTCCAGGTATAAGGTAAAATATGTAGAAAAAAATTATCTTTTCATTTTACTCAAATTAAAGGTAGTTTTTTTTTCTTGTCTAACTATTTTAAAAATAAAGTTTTTCAATCTATTTAATTAATTCTCTTTCAGGAAATTCTGCTTATGCCAGAAAAAACTTCTTATGACAAGCCAAAAGATGGAGATGTTTCTGTGGAAATTAGTCTGGCAACTTTAACCTGGGAAACAGAAGAAGAAGGAGATTGTGGTACCGTTTTGTTTACTTATTAGAAAATTTGTTTAAAATATTTAAAAACTGATTGAAATGTTCATTTTCAAATGATAATTTATTCCGCAAAAATAAAATTGTGTGACAATATATGTTATTTTTAATTGTAAATTAATTATTGCTCTCAAATGTTTTGCAGAAGCAACAGACGAAGACAGTATTATTGCAGGTTTGAAATCAACTGAGATTAAAACGCTATCAACAACAACCGCAACAAAATCAAGCTACACCAAACACTCAGCCTCTAAAGATGCCGCACCACATTTAGATTCTGTTGAGAGTTCCGCCATTCTGTTACCTAAAAATGAAAATAGTACAGACACAGAAGGAAACACATCACTGTTGCCAGCATTACAGGAGATTGATATTTGTGTGAAAAAGGTAAATTGGAATGAGTTGTCAAAAACATTTTTCTAAATTATTCATTAGACTGAAAAATTATTTCAAATAAGGGCCTAAATCAAATTTTTTTTAAATTATTATTATATTGTTATATAACTGTATGTTGTTCTGTTTTCTAATGTTATATTTCAACATAATGTAACAAAAATAATTTGTATGGTTTTCCAGGGCGAGTTGATTGGTATATGTGGTATGAAAGGGTGTGGGAAAAGTTCTTTGCTGGCTGCCATTTTGGGAAGGGTAAGTACTTACAAAAGCTTTACTAAACATAATTCTTTTTAGAGTTGAAATTAGGACAGAGACAGTTGAATGGTAAAACAAAACACCTGATATTACAGTCCTCATAATCAGTAATTTATGTTTCAAACCTTACCTATGAGCCTTTACAACCTAATTACATAATTCCATCATTATTTACAGCATGATAACGATGGTTTTTTTCAAATTAAAATATAAAAAATATATATGTATACTATTTACCAATGTATATGTATATATATGCTCTTTTACATTGGTAGGATAGGTACATTTTTTTTAAATTTAATTTTTTTGTTTTATATGTTTTCTCAGATGCAAGTTTTAGAAGGGGAATTGAAAGTGAATGGATCCATAGCATTCCTAAGCCAAGACCCGTGGATTGTCAATGGCACCGCAAGAGATAACATCCTGTTTGGTCTGCCGTATGATGCAGTAAAGTAGGTCAATAACTGTATAATTTAAGAAATTCATGATTTTATGTGGTCATTGTGTAATAAATACATCTCCTATCTGTATATACTTTTTTTGTTTTAAGTATCTGAGAAATTAGAGTTGTGTTGACTCAGATACTTCTACTAAAGACTAGTCTAGAATTAAAATTGGAACCCATTTATTTCCATTTAAGTGGGCATTCAAGCTCTACAACTTGATCTCCTTCACTATATTTTCTGTTTCAAAACAAAAAAAGTTAATAAATAAATAAATAAATAAGTGTATATATATATATATATATATATATATATATATATATATATATATATATATATATCTATATCAATAAAGTAAGGCAATTAATTTATAACATGTATTTCAAAATTTGCATTTATCAGGTATGACAGAATAATAAAAGCAACAAGACTTGATAAAGACTTTGACACTTTCAGTGCAAGAGATGAAGTTGAGGTGACTAGGTTTTACAATTTTATTTTTACATATATTCACATATAACATATAAATGTGTTTCTAACAAACTTATTCTTAAAAAAAATATTTAATAATCCAGATGGTCATCACAGATTTTAAACTACCAAATATTGTGTAAGCCTACTGCACCTAAGCTACTGCATGTTAATAAAACACTTTAAACTATAAATAACCAACCTAATTATAATAAAAGATGCCATACACTTTAACCAATAATTATATTCAATTTTAGATTACATTTTTATTTAGTAACAATAATCTACTCTAATTGTATTTAAACAACAAATAACTAACCTAATTAAAATTTAAAAAATCATATTAATTCATTTACCGATAATTTTATTCACTTATGTTATTAAATTTCTATTCAGCAACAATAATGTATTTTAATGTTATTTATGTTATACTAGATTGGGGATCGAGGCCTGACACTTTCAGGTGGTCAGAAGCAAAGAATTTGCCTTGCTCGAGCTATTTATAGCGACTCAGACATTTTGTTGCTTGATGACCCCCTTTCCACTGTTGATGTAAACATGGGCCGCCATATTTTTGCTCATTGCATCAAAACAATTCTACATGAAAAAACAGTTTTCATGGTCACTCATCATTTAGAGGTTTGTTGAATTGAAGTTTATTTTTGTTGATTGTTTAAAATTAGTTTTAATGTCAAAGAATTTTAATACTAGACTTCAAGAAAATAGATTATTTATAAGCCTAAATATTTTAAAAATCTATTTTGAATATTTGAATATTTTATTGTATTTTGATTGTATACTTTTATTATTGAAATGTATAAATTCATTAATTTTATTTATTTAAATCATAAAAACTTAAAAAATAAGTAAAATATGTTTTATTTAACTGTAGAGTAGTATTTGCATTATTCAAACTTAATCTTTATCTTTTTGTAGTACCTCCCTAAATGTGACAAGGTCTTATACATGCATGAAGGTCATGTGGTTTCATTTGGCAGCCATGCTGAACTTATGACACAGAAGAGTCCTTATGCTGAACTGTTTGTTTTGTATAATAACAAATATGACAGAATTCTAAAGGAGAGAATGTTGTATAGAGGGGACAAGAAAGAAGGCAAGTGGATGATACTATTTTACCTATTTTTGTTAAAACATTTATATAAGTAAATATTCATATTTATATTTTATGTATTTTGAAATTAAATGATTTTAAACAATGTTAGTCTCTATCAACAATTGACTTTTTTTTTAAAACCAAGTGACAATTTATTTATATTTATTTTTATTTTTTTTAATTTAATTCTAAAACTAACTTCAATTCTTATCATATTTTACTTTTAAAAATACACTAAATGCAACTGATTTATTTTAATTTCAGTGAGGACAGTCCCACAGCGAGGATTCTCTAGAATGTCAGAGAAAGCACTCAATCGCCAGCTTAGTATGATGTCAATGACTGCTGGAGGAGTCCAACATCAATTCAGTGTCATCTCATCCACCAGCTTGTGTGCTGATTATGAAAATGGTGGGAATACATTTCTTCTTTTAGTTTCTATCCCATAAACTTAGTTACACATTTAAATTTTAAATAATATATATTCAAGAAAGTCTTACAAAAATATATGCATATATATATATATATATATATATATATATATATATATATATATATATATATATATATATATATATATATATATATATATACATATATATATATATATTATTCTTACTATTCTAGTTGACCTGGATGATCTTGCCACTTCAACTGGTCGACCTGACTGTATGGTTAGGCCTGGAACCTACATCACCTACATCAAAGCTATGGGTGGAGTGGCCATTTTTATTTTTATGATGGTCAGTTTTATGGTCAGTGTTGCAATACAGTCAATGACAACAGCTTATCTGGCATATTGGTTGGACCAGGGATCTGGCCATGTGGTAAGATAAATTCACAATAGTTTGATCAAATTCCTAAGTTTAAGTTTATTTAATGTATGCTGATTTTTAATTTTTTTTTGTATTTAAAATTGTAAATCTCACTCTTTTACCACAGGAACTCAATTCTTCCAACTCTTATAACAATGAAAGCAACATCAATGTTAGCTACTATCAAAACAGCAGCAGCCATATTGGAAAAGCTGCAGACAACCCACATATAAATACATACGCCTTCATCTACGGAATGTTTCTCTTGACTATGCTTCTTCTGCTGGTTGGAAGATCTATAATCTTTGTCAAAGTTGGTACTATATTGCATCTTTTGTTATCCAGATTATAAGGCCTGTTGGCCTATTACATTGACTATTTATCCATCTGAATCATTAATTTTGTATTAAACTGATTACTTATGTGTCTTAATTATTAAATTTGTATGCTTACCAAATTGAATATTTATGGTCTAAGCCATACAGTGTGTTTTGACCATCTAAATCAAAAAACTAGTAGGCCAACTACATTAATTATCAATTTAACCATCTAAATTTTTCTTTTGGACCCTATGTAACATTTAAAATGTGTCAGGTAGTTAAAATGCTTGTATCTGCTGTTTTTCATTGCAGATTTTACTCAAAGCTTCATCTTGCCTCCACAAACGTTTGATAGAAAGAACTATGAGAAGCCCCATGAAGTTCTTTGACACCAACCCTATTGGAATAATACTCAATCGCTTTTCAGCAGATTTAGATGAACGTAAGTTCTTTATTTTGGACTTGAATTTTGATTACGAAAACAGACATTTTTTCAAAAATAATTTGTGTTGAGCAAACTTCTCTTAATAATTAATTCTTTGAAAATAAAAATAAAATTACTATAGCTCTAATTTGTATTTATTCTTCTTTAATTATTGATTTTGTACATTTTTGTTTTGGACTTCAATTTTGAATACGAAAATAGACAACATTTTCAAAAAATAATGTGTGTTAAGCAAACTTCCCTTAATAATTAATTCTTTAAAAATAAAATTATTAGCTCTAATTTGTATTTATTCTACTTTTAATATTAATTTTGTACATTTTTGTTTTTTTAACAGTTGATGTTCGATTACCAGCCAACTGTGAGCTTTTCCTCCAGAATGTGTTCCTGGTCTTGTCTGCCCTTGTTTTAATCACAGTTATCTTCCCATTTGATCTGCTGGCTATTCTCCCTCTAGTGGTCATCTTTTGTGTCCTGGCCTACATGTTTGCTCCAATTCTGCAGCAGCTCAAGTTTATGGACAATGTCACAAGGTCACCGTACCTAAGTCACCTTGCTGCTTCTGTTGAAGGCATTGCTACAATCAATTCTTTCAACCAGGGTCAAAGGTTTTACAGGAAGTAAGTTGAATATGAAATCATTAAAATAATTTTTTTCATATATTTTTCTGCAGATAGCTCATTCTTTGATTTAACGTTTTGCCACCCAAACGTAGATTTATTATAATGATTTGCAATATTGGACTATTTAATTAATAGACAATGAGTTATCTAAAAACATAACTTTATCAGGGATAAGAACTGGAACAAAACTTTGCTCTAATTAGCATTTAATTGTTTGTCTTCATAAAAATCAATCTGATAAACAAATTATTAAAGTTTAATTTAATTTCTTTTAAAATATCAATTGTTATTTTATAAAATTTGGCTTATATAAACATCAAAGTTATTTCTGTCTTGTTTCAGATTCTGTGATTTGCTGAACGGCAACAGTGTGCCCTTCTTCTTGTTTTATGCAGCCAATCGCTGGCTTGCTGTGTTTCTTGACTGTATGACCATTGTAGTGACAGGTGCCACTGGGTTTCTCATAGTGTTCACACTTAGTTCAGACAATAGCTCAGAGGCTGGGCTTGCCTTATCCTTTGCTATTCAGGTCAGGATAATAATAAATCATATTGCTATGAATTCAGACATTATTTTATATTTTTAAATGACACATTTTATCCTTTTAAGAGTTATAAATGTAAAGCATCATTTTCAACATTTTTGATTATCTTTCTTTATGTAAAAAAATTTACAAGTAAAAATTCCCTTTTCTGACCTGGCGGTCCATGGGGCAAGTGAAGTACAGTTCACCTGTATCCTTGACCTTGCCTTTACTTTCCCTAATGTGAGTTAGGTACCCATCAGAACTAGGTGGACTCAGAGATGTTCTACTGACTTGAACCCCAGAACCCCAATTCAAACTTGAAACTTGGTGTTAGCACTCTAGCAAAAATTTACAATGTGACTCAGTTAAAATGTGTTGATTTGTAGCAGATGTTTTGAATCCAACATGAAACTACTGAATATATTCTGCCGTGAAGTTATTTTTATTTAAAATTTTTGCTTGCACAGATAACTAGTCTTGTCCAGTACACACTTAGACTCTCTATGGAAACCATCTCACGGTTTTCTTCAGTTCAAAGGATACAAGATTATGTTGAGGTAAATTTTAAAAACCTTGACCCTTCTTAAACCCTACTATTTAACTATATTTATCTCACATTTGACAGACAAAAATATTTGCAACTTCAGCCACCAGCTTTTAAGAAATAAAGTTTGCTGAAGTTGTTTAGATAGTAGCTTCATTTGCGTATTTAATATTTATTTTAAAACTCCTGACCCGGTCTGTTCTAGGAATTACAGTAAAAAAAAACATATCGCTCATTTAAACAAGGCTTATAAAATAAAAGAATATTATTTAAAATCTTAAACAATACCCAAACTTCAATTTACATCCTAATTTTTTTTTTAAGTTGTGCTTTCTGTTTGCTAAATGCTGAACATGTTTTCTCAGACCTTTCAAGCAGAGGGAACAAGTATAAATCCTCAAGAGCCTGCAGCAAACTGGCCTAGTGAGGGCGCCATTACTTTCAAACAATACAAGATGAAATACAATGAAGGTCAGGCCCCAGTCATCAAAGGCATTAGTGTAAATATACAACCAGGGGAGAAAATTGGAGTTGTGGGAAATTCAGGATCAGGTTGGTAGAGTTATCTTTTTGTGTTTGAATTAAATAATATTATTAAAAATATTTTAACTGATGGTTTTTTTTTTAAATTATTTTAAAAGTTGAGATTAGTGAGTTTATTTTTAGAATTGTTAATTAATAATTGGAATGTTCAATGTTTTACAGGAAAATCTTCTCTGGGGGTTGCATTATTTAGATTATCTGAAGCTGCTGCAGGGACAATAACTATAGACAACATTAACATTCGTGATGTGCCCCTTGAAATACTAAGGTCAAGGCTATCTATTCTTGTCCAAGATCCTGTTCTATTTACAGGAACAATTAGGTAAATATGTTTCAAAGAGAAAAAACATTTTTAAAAAAATTATTTTTTCTCAGAACAGTTAGGAGTATTATTTATACCAGTATCTAATATGCCACAATAATGGAATACTTTTAAAAAAAAAGAATACTCTATTTGTTAGAATGCTCTAGTAAAATATTACTTGCTATTGTCTATGTCAGCCTTAACTTCAACCCTAGTTCAAGTCCCATCACAGCTTAGCACTAACACTCAAATTAGTATTACAACACAATTACTAACATCAAAAACCTGATTTTCAAACATTGGTGGGAAATAAAGGTATTAACATTATCAGAATGTAGTTACTATATTTGTTTTGTTTTTTAATGTTTGACAGGTATAACCTTGATCCTTCTGGTACTATAAAGTCTGATGACATTTTCTGGCAAGCTTTAGAGAAGTGTCATATCAAAAATAAGGTTGGTAAGATTTTAATATTAAATGCATGAAAAAATGCTATTGAAAGAAAATTTTCATTTATTATCAATGCAACATGTACATTTAAAAAGAGATTTTTGTGACAGTCTGACGAAGCCATGGTTGTTACTCCTTCAGTTTGACTTTGACCTATCTAATGTAAAAATATCAGTGCTGAAGTATTTATTAAACTCACTCACTAAAGAAACGATATAATACCAAAACAGTTTGTTTTATAGTAGATTTGAATTTGTGAACTCTGTTATCTTAAAAAAATAGTTTTGTGACTTAAGTACTTTTAGCAATATAAGCCCTTCAATTATGATTGTTTAAAATGCTGTTTACTGTAACTACCATCAATATATTTGTAAAATAATAAGTAGCTAAGTAAGATTGAATTAAAATAACTTTCTATATGGCAAAACGTTTATAATAATATATCATTTTGCTTCTTATTTAGATTCAGTCCTTAGATGGAGGACTAGATACTCTTGTTGAAGAAAATGGTAGAAATTTCTCAATGGGTGAAAGGCAGCTTTTATGTTTGGCAAGAACTTTACTGCGGAATTCAAAGGTAAGAATACATATATTTTTATATTGCATAAATAATATTATTTATTAGTCGATTTGATTTATTTTAGAACTTGTATTTTTATAAAACATGATGCATGTTGGACTGAATGAGTTGATTAGGAATTTTTTTTAAATAATTTATTTGCAATTCTTTAGTGATCAAACCAGAGTAACATTTTTAATATTAAATTAAAAATATGTAAAATAAATTCCATACCTTAAGTAAAGTTCAGTTTTTAAAATTGGTTTTAGCTTTTTAAAAAGCTTATGTTGTTTTAAAACGGTTCAATTCTTTAGATTTTAAAATTCTCCATTAATGAAGCATGTTTAAAAATTGTTCTATATTTTAGTGTTGGTTGAAGCCATTGCATCAATGATTTAGAAATTATTTTTGAGATTCTGAATGAAACAAATGCATCATAAATTAATTAGTTAAGTGTAGATCTTGGTATTAAATGGTACAAATGTATTATGAATGAAATAATTTTGTCCTAGATTTTGGTACTGGATGAAACAAATGCTTCATCATTTAAATAAATATGTTATATGGTATTGAATGAACAGATTTTATTATGATTTAAATAATTATGTTGTAGATTTTAGTCTTGGATGAAGCAACTGCATCTGTGGATGGAACCACTGAAGCTCTAGTCCAGCAGACAATCAAAGAGTGCTGCAAGAACTGCACTCTGCTCATGATAGCCCACAGAATCAACACAGTTTGGGACTGTGACAAAGTGCTTGTCATGGAAGGGGGAAAGGTTGGCATTTTTATTTCACTCATAATAGTTAGTGTATCTTCTTGGCACTAGTGCACATTCAACTCATTTAGTTTCAATTATCTTGTTGAAAGTGGTTTTACTTGTTTACTTTTTTCTCTGGTGATTCAATTTATTTCTGGTGATTCTATTTATTTCTGGTGATTCCAGCTTAGCAGTTTAATTTATTTCTAGTTATTCTAGTTCGATTTCTTTGGAAATTTTTAAATTCTATTATCAATTCAATTTTTTTTAATTTTTATCTGGTGGTTCTTCTCTACATTTATTTTACTAAAAATTTTAATTCTTTCCTTTTTTTCTGGCGACTCTTCTCTACATTTATTTTGCTAAAAATTCTTATTCTTTCCTTTTTTTTCTGGCGACTCTTCTCTACATTTATTTTAGTAAAATTTCTTATTCTTTCCTTTTTTTCTGGCGACTCTTCTCTACATTTATTTTAGTAAAAATTCTTACCTACATTTTCCTCCCCAGGTTGTTGAGTTCAACCACCCCACAGTCCTGCTACAGAAATCTTTCTCCAGGTTCAAGTCCATGTTTGAGATGATGAAGTCCCAGCCTCGGGGAGCGTCCATCAACGAGGACCCCATGCCCTCCGTCTCAGCATCAAGAACATCCCCCAGGCTCCCATCCTCCCCCCGCCTCCAGTCCCCCATCCAGCACACTCCATCCAGTTCGCCGTTTGGTGAGCTCTCGCCTCTTACAGATGAGATCTACGATGACGACGCCATGATGTAATATTTGATACAAAATGCGACGCCATAATGTAATATTTGATACACAATGTAATTCCCATTTCTAAATATTAATTTATATAATTATGTAAAATAACCTTGTTTTGGCAAAATTTTAAAATGAACACATCTCAAGATAGTTTTATATCCACATAAATTTATCAGCACTTGGGGCTTAAAATATCCAATTTAATGAGAAAATTAAAAAACCAAACATGTGATTAAGTATATTGTTACTATGTAACAGTCTAAATCAAACTGCTTATTTTATACAATATATACTGTTTCAATGTTACTGTGATGAATGCTGCTTAATGGTTGTATAGGTATGCTATGAGATCAGATTGTTGTGAGAAAACATGATGTATTTCAATTATTAATAGTTTCTTTCCTTGTAGTTTAATTTATTGGTTATTTTTTTTTAATTTATTTTATCCTGAATATGAAAAGTTTGGTTATATTTGTTTTAATCGTCTGATTTACATTGGCATACATTTTTATTTTTGCTTTTTATAAATCAGTTCTCTTCATCATTTAGGTAAAAATGTTGCTGTTTTTTTTTTAAATTTAAATGTATTTATAAGTTTGTAAAATGTAGATTAAAGGCTAGACTCTCATTGTCCTGGTCTGTTTTAAAGTGAATTAGTATTTTTAGTTGCAATTTTATGCTTAAATTATAGTTTTTAGAATGCGTATATAATCAGATTCCTATGTTGTTGTATTGACAATTCTTTTAACATTTTGATATTTTTTTTTAAACAAAAAACCTTCCAATCAAGTTAATATGCATGAGCAGTATTTTCTATATACAATTTATTTGGTGCTTAGTTACACAAATACTTCCCATTTTTTATTAACTGAGATGACATAATATTAGAATTCAATCAAAACCACAATCATAACGAGATTAGTTAATTTATATTCTTTACACTACTCCACATCATACGATGATTTCCGAATCTTGTATTTTCATTATTCAATCACAAATCAATTGCCTTTTCATATGTTTGTTAAAGATCCGCTCTCTCACCCATATCTCTGTATGGTTTCTTTGTTATTTATTTTTATAATAATTGACATTTATATTAATGCATACTATAAAATGTTCATACATATCACTCTTTTTTGTCTGTTTTGATGAAATGATTTAATTTAAACATGACAAAATTATTTACAGGGTCGTAAATAAATTTTTCTGTGAAATTTTATGTGAAATCATTTGTACATTTATTCACAGGATTGTAAATAATTTTTCTGTGAAATCACTTGTACATTTAAAAACAATGTGTCTCTTGTTTTAACAGGTGTTCAATACAGTCTATATTTTTTTTTATGATGTTGTCTACATCATTTTGTATTTACAATTTTCTTGACATTGGTGATTTCACCAAGAAAATACAGATTGTGCAGTAGGTAATTTACATAGTTAACCATAATTTGTTAGATATACTTTCTTCAATAAATAAATGACAGGTAATAATGCTGTTTAATGCAGAGTTATTTAAACTGCATAAAAACTATTCTAAAAGTTTTTTAAATTGTTTTTTTAGTATGCACGCTTAAGATGTAGTCAACAAAATTTTTATACACATTTTTTGTCACATTTGAAATTCATTTTACAATTTTATAAGAAAATACTTTTAAAATCTTTTTAGCTGAACTTAGATTATAAAAATAATAAAAGAAAAGGTTTAATACGTAGTCTTGTCACAAGAAAATACTATTTTGACTATGCAATTTTTTAAAATCTGCTTAAAAAAAGATTACCCCATTTAAATCAGATGTGAATCCTTTATTTTATTTACAAAATGTTTGCTTGATGTGCTTACATCATTTGTTGAGAATAAAAATTTTGACAATATTTATATTTGTTCAGTTTTATTGTGTATTTCTAACCTCATCTGTGTGTTGTTGTCCTGAATGTTTCTGTATTGAAAATACACAATCTTTAGGATAAATTTGAGTTTGAGTATTAACTGTGTTAGACATCGCTCAATCAACGATGACATTGATATCAGCAGGGATGGAAAACTAATCCTAGCATCAGACAGCGCACCCCTTCCACCACTTATCAGACAAACAGCCAGTGCCATCATTCTGCTGCTTTGCACTATGTGGCTATATTGTTGCATTTTCTTTCCTAGTTTAAAATTGGGTCTTGGGGGTCTGTTAGGTGTTTTTTTTTATTTGTTAGGTGGACATATCTTTTAACTAGAAAGAGGGAGGTCATTTTATATATATATATATATATATATATATATATATATATATATATATATATATATATATATATATATATATATATATATATATATATATAATGGTCACTTTTTTAAACCTTTTATTTAAACTTTTTTGTACCAATACAAGTTTTCATGGATTGAAAAGAACAAAGAAATAAAGTGTTAGAACAAAGAAATAAAATTATGCTTCATTTTATAATTGTTAAGTAAAAAAATTCTATTTATCTCATTTTATAAAAATTAAAATTTTATAAGCATAACAAATGTGTATATAATTTTTAAGATCTATTTACAACTCAGAGTTCATTGCTGTGTCCTCTATGTGATAGCTAGATATAGTTTAGTCTCATAGTCTGGTGATACAGAATAATAGCCATCACTGTAATTAATAAACAGACCTGAAATGTAGAAACTAGTAAATAAATACGTACATAAGTTAGAAAACAAAATTTCTTGCTATCATAGTTATTGCTTAGTGGAAAGATAGTAAGTTAGACTGAACGTAATTGACTGGTTTTTAATGTTCGTTATTAATAAGTTATCTCCCTTACCTAATATTTTTATAGCTTCCCCTTAAAGCTAGATCCCAATGTTTTCATTTTATACTTGTATTCTACTCACATTAAGAAATCATCAAATTTTCTTTATTAATATTTGATTTTCAACTTTGGTATAGCTGGAATCAGTGGCATGGGCAGGAACTGGTGAATTTTTATTTTATAGCATACTATTTATACCATTGTAATTCCCCCATATTGTAATGCACTGCTGTCTTTAATGAACATTACAATTTTTAACACATTTAACCCCACCCCCTCCAAAAAAAAGTTACTTGTGCATCCAACCAGGGTTAGACAGCCAAACTTTTGGACAAATGATGCTTCCCAAGATCTAGATCTTTCACAACTCTACTGTATCAAACTTCTCTACACTCTACACTTCAGTCGTTTCAATTAAACCTTTTTTTTTTAAGTTATATTATTTTTTTATTAAAAATGCGCCACTGTCTTGAGAATAGTCGTAGGAAAAGCAGTCCCTACGGGCCATGTTTCTGGTTATAACAAATTTGGTAGGATAATATGATAAAGAAAAGGTTTATGAGACCTTGTTATGCTATGCTGATTTGTGTAAAAATTTCTGCTACATGTATGCCTAGCCATCTTTACTTTCCCTAACGTGAGTCAGGTACCCAATCAGAGCTGGGTGGACTAAAGCTCGCCTGCGGACTTGAATCTGGGATCTGAACTGGAGACTTCTGTGTTAGCAGTATAATACCATTCAATCAGGCCGTCCCTCAAATTGTTCTACATGCAGTAATATATTTAAAACTTACCAGATGCATTAATTTAAAATGAAAACGAAAAAATAAAATATGGCAATCCTACTGTTTTTAAAACTTGTATCAACTTATTTTTTTTTGTAATATTAATATCTGAATAAAATAAAAATTCAACATAAAATAATGACCTTCACACGTGGTATGTATAGACCTGAACTACCTAGTCTCACCTGAACAGACTGTCACCCCTGGACTACCTAGCTGGACATACCAGCTATTACACTGTACAGCCTATGCTCAATATGTTATTTAAACAGATTTTGTCCAGATAGGCAACGTCAAAAAGTTAACCACCACCACCCAAAAAAAGATTATTAAAAAAGGATATGAAACGTGTACTTTTAGTTTTTAAGCATCACCTAGCCCTAACCCTAGAGGCAGATAACGTGAGTTGTGTTAAATTTGGATGTTTAAATACTTAAATGTCTAGACATCAGATATAGGTCAAGGTTATGTGCATGCATTAAATTGGAGCTGGCAAAAAGTGGCGCTGCTTAACTTTCCCCTGTGCACTTTTTGCATTAGCGGCGGGGCTTATCTGGAAGAGATCCATTTAAACAGCTGCATTTTAACACAGACAAATTTACTTGCAACAAATCATTGAAATCAACATAAATTTTTTTGGACGTCTGGACACTAGACAATAGTACATTGAACCAACTCTTAGATTCTATATGCAGAGAAGCTACAAAAGTAAAAAAAAATGTACATAAAACAAATTATTCAAAGTTTAAATTATCAACAGGACTTGTGCATAGGTGAAATCTTGGTCGATTTATCTGTTTACATTCTTCAGATTTAGTAAGTATCCGGATCTACATTTTAATTAACATCAAAAGGTTATTTGAGAAAAGCTCAACTCAGTTATAAAATGAGTTAGTTGAAAGTTGATATTTAGGCCTGTAAGTTAAATTTTGTTCCACTATAAATAAAGATTTAATCAAAATGTAGGGCTAATGCAATTTGCCAAAAAAAAAAAAAACATGTTATCTAGAATGAAAGATAGTTTTAATTGAACTAAAAAAAGTTTATAATATCATAGTGGCACAAAAAAGTTTTTAAAAGAAAACTGCTTTGTCAGTTTCTGATTTACTTTCATGACCAATTTTTAAGACCAAGAAATTACTGTTAAAACTGTATATAAAAACAAAAATGTACACATTTCATTCAATCGATGACTAAATGTACAAAATCTGCATATTTTAACTGCTGAATCACACATACACACACTGAAGTAGTAAGTCATTAACTGTTAATTTATGCATCCATCTTAATACATTAAAAAAAAAATTTAAATAAACTTTTATGACCTTTATATGCATTCATTTAAAGTTGTTTTTATTTTTTAATTTGTTCTCTCTTCTACAGTATAAACTAAATACAAATTTAACATTTACAATAAAAAATACTTGACCTTTAACAGCAGGGTTAATGAAAATTTTTTTATCATGAAATTTACAATAGACCAAATAATCAACAAAAACCACATTCTCTACCCATACTAATCAACCAAATTCATACTAAATACTAGCAACACAGTTTAAAACCTTTTAAATTATACAGGCATTTGATTCTTGGTTTACTAAACCAAATTAGAAACACTCAATGCTAAAGCTAACATTTATTAGAATTGTTATTTACACATTGTACAGGGTAAGAATCTCCACTAATCAAAGTATTCTATAGTTAGCCATCATTACTGTATGGTAATATGGCCGATTGTCATTGGCCATCAATACTGTGTTCAGGTATGGCTCATTGTTATTGGCCATCATTACTAAAATTCTGAAATGGCCAATTTGTCACTGGTCACCAGTACTGTATGCTGATATGGCCTATTGAAACTAAATTTGTTAATTTTTAAAATTGTATTCAACAAGATTTGGAAGTTGTCTATGTACAGTATGTTAATGCATAATTTAAATATTTTTTTTATATATCTAATATCGTCACATGTAAATTATAAAGGTAGCTAGTTAAACTAAAATAAATATTACTACAATGGCAGTGATAATTCAAAAATCTACTGATGACAATTTCATGTATTTACAAATCTAAAATCAAACACATCAGTCATTATACCAATTAGTTAGGATACTATCAGCAGACGTACATATGTCAGAGACTTGATCAGAAGACAGGCATTAAGAACATCACTAAGTGTACATATGTATAGTACACCAGCCTACATGATGTACAAGACAATAGCAGACACATAAAGCAACATCAGCAAACATCCACAATGATGTCAATGAACATGATGTAAAGACAATAAGACAATAGCAGACACATGAAGCAACATCAGCAAACATCCACAATGATGTCAACCAACATGATGTAAAGACAATAAGACAATAGCAGACACATGAAGCAACATCAGCAAACATCCACAATGATGTCAATGAACATGATGTAAAGACAATAAGACAATAGCAGACACATGAAGCAACATCAGCAGACACATGAAGCAACATCAGCAAACATCCACAATGTCAGCAGACCGGATGAAATGTTACATAATTGAAATATTCTTTACCCATTCTTTTGCATACATATATTCTTTGCTTTGGTGTTTGGATTTCATAAAAAAATTATTATCCATATCTAAGATATAATTTACATTTAGAACACAAGATAATATTTTACGATTGCTTTGTTGAAAGCCACAGAAAAGGTAACTGCAATTCTGACAACATCTGAGTTTACGTTAACCATGCTGTTAATCATAAACTGTTGTGTGCTCAAAGTTTCATATTAAATGACCAGTGTATTTTAAACTTGTCATTTTTTAAAGTAAACTAGGAATATGCTATTTTAAATTTTCAAAAAAATTAAATTTAGTATTTAAAATTAAATTAACTGCAGAATAAAAGCTGTAATTGAATTGCGTTAAATATTTTGATCTGGCACTAAGAAAATATTCTGCATAGTAAGGTTTTCTCTTGTAAATTAGGAAAGATATGCATAAAATTGTTTAAATAAACAACAATTGTATTTTAAATAATCAAGCCTGCCTTACTTTGAGCTATTTTTTGACAAACAATTTGCTAATTTCACACCCTAGCAGAACAAAGTTTTATCCGCCTATGCTACACTTATATCTTTATTATTCTAGGAAAACCAATGACTCATTTTGATGCAACTTAAAGGATCTAGGAATAAAATGGCTGAATTTGATGTAGCCTAAAGCATATCTAAATCACCTTCTACAAACAGATATATAGATCTTTCTTTAATTTTAAAAGGATATATACATCAATATAAATCTTTCTTTTATTTTAAAAGCATATCTAAATCACCTTCGATAAACAGATATATAAATCTTTCTTTAATTTTAACTTAACATTAAAGAGTAAACAATATCAAAGAACATTTTTACTCCTGAATAAAAAAAATTCACTTATCAATCATTTAGTTTCAAACTATTTTATGTGTTTTATTTTTTAAATGACAAGCTGCAAACCAAATCGACTGATTAATTTAAAAAACTAGACTGAGCATTTTTTAAAAATTAATTCTGTCATATATATGAATACTGCGATATGGATAAAAATATTTCTTCAGCAAATATTGACACACATGATTTTCTAATGTGGATGATCTTGCTAAAAAAAAAAACTGTACACAAACTAGTCATGATGTTATTTACATAATACAAAATAGCATTTTATCAGCATTTTTAAATGTATATACATCTTATAAAACGAAATAGAAACCTATTCAGCATTTAGGATTAAAAACAGCTTTGTTCTTTTGTGGCTCTTTTCGAATATATAAAATATAATAATCTCCATTCATGAATTGTCAGTAAATCACATGCAACATCATTCAAACAAATGTTGTTTGCACTTATCAGTCACACAATAATTGTGTTTAGGGTTAAATAAAAGCACCATCTTCTCCACAACCAGTGGTTACATGCATAATCAGCATATTTTCCACATATGTTCTTTATAAAATATATATGATTGTAATCTAAAGACAATAATTTGTGTAATAAGAACGCAACACTGGCCAATATGCCTGTTGTATGTTGTCACTTTTTTCTTCTTGAATAAGAACAAATTTTTAAAATCTTCACAATCTAATTGCTTTAGATGGTTAAATTTTGTTAAAAAAAATTTCACACAGCCATTAAAATTAGTAGAAAAAAAAATAAATATGAGAAATTCTTCTCCATAAGGTACTTAAGCTGTACATACATCTTTGTAGCTCTCATTAGTGTTGAGAACTATACAACTAAAGCTAGGACATCTGGAAGCCAGAGTTCTGTTCTCTTGATCACGAGAGTGCTGTTCTCTTGATCGCAAGAGTTCTCTTCTCTTGGTGAAAAAAGTTCTGTTTCTCTTGATCAGAGAAGTGTTGACTTTAATTTAAATCAGAGTTATCTTTGGAACACTTTCCATCTACAAGCACAAACACAAGATTATAGAAGTACCCAACTCAATGGTTTTTTGTTTTTTTTTGCTTGCATGAGTTGTCTGCTCGGCTGTGATTCAGACAATGACTGAAATGAGTTGTTGGATACCTGTGTAATACTGATGAGTTGATCTACCTGCACAGTTTATCTGAAGGTACCTGCATCCACCCCTGTTGTTTGTGTTATCACCTGCTTCACAGAACTACAGACACCCAGGTTTGGCTGCAGACTTGACTAGAGCTAGAAAAGGTGACCTTGACCTCGCAGAAAGGTTAGATGTATCTGCCCAAAGCCATGTAAAAGTTCTGCAGGTAGGTGATCAGCTGGGGAAACTTTGGCCGCTCATCAGGTGACAGGGCCCAGCAACAGGCCATCAACGAAAACCTGAAATTAATTATAACATTCGTTACAGTTTTTTAACTAATGTATTCAAATAAACTTACATTTGTTACATCTAATGGAAAATAACTTTAGCTAAACAGGAAAATCATAATACAAATACAAGAAATCATGCTTGTTACAGGTGGTATTTCTACAGCTGTTAATATAATTTTTTATAAGGTAGTGTGGAAGGGGAACCTGTAAGTCTTTTGCAATATATTTTTTTTTAGTTTTCCCCATTTAATCACTCACTTCATTACCAATTTTTAAAGAATACATAAAATGGTTGGGAATTTTTTCAAATCTTACAATTCGTCAGGACAGTTGTGAGGTTTGGCTATCCTGTAACCTTCCTGCAAGTATGCTGTCATTTCAAAGGGGTCAACATCAGCATAGGGTTGCTGACCCAGGGTCATCATTTCCCATAGTGTTACTCCAAATGCCCACTACAGAACAGAAATTATGTTAATTAATTGCATTAAAAGTACAAACTAGTATAAATAGTCATTTTTCTAAAATGATTTAACTTAAAACCTACATTTGATTTAGAAGAATAAAGAGAAAAATGTTTTCTAATTTCAACAAAAAAAAAAACCAGAGTTAATTCCCTTGATATTTCATAGTTTTTAAATTTCTAAACAAGAAACCCTAATTTTCTCTTAAACCTAATTAAAATTAACTACATAGAATACTAAAACAATTTTTTTCAATAAAAACCAAACTAACCACATCACTGGCCGGGGAAAACCTCTTCTGCATCAGAGCTTCAATAGCCATCCATTTGACCGGCCTGTTCTCATTGTCTCCCAGACAATTATAGTCCCCAGGGAAAAGGTCCCTGGCCAGGGAGTTATCTGTCACCTTCACCACCAGGTCTGTGCCCACACTAAAGAAATCAGAAGCAGAGGGGGGAAGCTGAACAGCATGCATGTCAGGGAAAGATGACTTCTGTCACACAGGGTGCCAGGGGAGACGATCAAAACAAAACAAAGGAGGGTAGTGGAAAGTGGCGGACAAATTACTTGCAGGCTATTTATTTCATTTGGGTTTTTATGTAAACTTAAATACAATAATATATTTTTTTAATCATATAACAAAAAATTTTCAAAAATGTTTTTTTTTATTGAGATCATTTTATTTATAATAATAAAGGTAAACATGTGCCCATAAATTATTATACACTAACTAAAAACAATATAAAAAATATGAAATATAACATTAAATTATTAAGAATATTTCCTAAACTTTCATGGAAAAATAGTACTTTAAAATAAAGATCTAGGTGTTGAGAATTAAATTATTAAGAATATTTCCTAAACTTCATCGAAAAATAGTATTTTAAAATAAATATCTAGGTGTTGAGATATTGAAGTCATACTGTACATTATGTATAAACAGCTTATTAGTTAACACTTATCACTATCTTAAACAGGACATGGTTGTCCTTTAAAGCTCAAGGCTTGGCTGTGACTTGGATTTTACCTCAGGACACTTGTGCTAAGAATCTTGAGGTCTATCACCACATTCGTTCATAATAATCATAACAATCAATGAGAGAAAGATGGTGAGTTAAGAGGAAGTATGAAATTGTGAATTGAATTGCTTGTTATGTTTCCACTTACATACAATTCCTTGTGGCTATATCTTTATGGATGAGTTTCTTCCTATGTAGGTACTGTATGCCTCTAATCATCTGGATAGCCATGTACACCAGTTGCTGAGTATTCAGGGTCTGGAATGTTTACATTTTGATAAGAATTTCACATAGGTAAAACATAAAGCATTGAATTAGGATATCAATTGAATTTAAAACTTTTATTATAGACCAATGAAACTATTTATTCTGTATTGTATACCATATTCAATTTTTTATATAAATCATATTCCTTAAAAAATATTTTAAAGCATTTTTTAAAATAAAAATGCCTTTATTAAATTTCTTTCAAAAACCACTGTTATGGAGCATTTGCAACACATGGTTACAATTCTTCTTTCTGTTGTAAAAAACTACATAAGAAATAGGTGTGGCTCTTTTGGGAGTGACTCAAATAATTGTAAGTTTTTATCTATACTACTATTGTTTTTCTCAAGTGGTCTTTAGTAGGATGAAATGTTTAATTTTCTCCTAAAGTACTAATGTTTTATCACAGGATGAAATATTTAATTTTCTCCTATAGTACTAATGTTTTATCACAGGATGAAATATTTAATTTTCTCCTAAAGTACTCATGTTTTATCACAGGAATGGGGATAAACTGGACACCTCAAGGAAAAAAGAAAGAAGGGAAGGCCAAGGGAGGCAGTGAAGCAGCTGGCAGAGGCAGGACTGTCATGGGGGACTAGCAGAAAAATTGCAGAAGACTGACAAAAGTGGAAAGAGCTTTATGTGGTGGTCCCGTGTGCCTTGGGCACAAAAAGGAAAGGGCGACAAAAATGTTTGGTGAAAATTAAAAAATAAATTTCTAATAGCTTTTAGCATTTAACTTTTTTTTCAATACACACAGTGTGTATAGTTAAAATTACACATTGTAAGTGTATACACAGAGTTTTGACTGTTTAAATCATGTCATAAAAAATCCTTTAAAAATTAACAAATCCATGAACACTAAACACAGCAAATTTTGAAAACAAATGAGGCTTAGAAATAAATCTTCACCATGGCAAGGTTCAAAGGAAGTAGGTTACAAGACAACATACACAACAATCACTCTGTATTTAAATATCTAAATACAAAACTAAAAAAATGTGAAGTTAACTTACATATCTTGAACCACACTCTGACATGCGACACTTTAAAAGAAATTTTTTCATATTTCCTTCCTGTAGGTAAGGGTAGACAACAAGGGGCTGGTCAGGGTTATCTAGACATGCCCCTAGTATGTTGTGGAGGTTGGGGTGGATCAAACTCTTCAGCAGGACAGACTCGGTCAGAAACAACTGGACTTGATCAGTCTTGGCTTGATCTAAACCAAATTTTCAAAACATTTGATACAAATTTTGACCATTAGAAATATGCCTGATCTAAACCAAATTTTCAAAACATTTGATACAAATTTTGACCATTAGAAATATGCATGATCTAAACCAAATTTTCAAAATATTTGATACAAATTTTGACCATTAGAAATATGCCTGATCTAAACCAAATTTTCAAAACATTTGATACAAAATTTAATCATTAGAAATATGCCTGATCTAAACCAAATTTTTTTTAAACATTTTAAACAAATTTAACCATTAAAAATATACCTGATCTACCCAAATTTTTCTAATTATATAAAAACTAACAAAATATTTTACTTAGATTATAGAGCCTAATATACAAAAGTTTGGATAAAGCCTAATGCTTTTTATATTTAATCTCTTTATATTTTGTAAAACAGCAATTTAATGTTCAAACTTATGATGGGCTAACCTGTGACAGTTTTAATAAAAACATCCTGTTCTGTCCCAGCCTCATTCTCATCATCTCCAATCAATGTCCCCATGTAGATGCGGCCAAATGTGCCTAGAAAATCAAGAATAAAATATATTTCTTATATATTAACATGTTCTTGTTTCATTAACTTGTTTCAATAAACTTTCAGACTGATGAAAGCAGTGTTCTTCTGCTTCTTTCATATAGGATATTATAGGATTGTATGACCAGATACTTCAGTGGGTGGACAAATGAAAGTCCCACAGAATACGAGCTTAGTGAATATGACTTTTATCTATGCCAATCTTCCTGTGTCATAATCATTTAATTTTTTTTTTTAAATTATTAAAAGAGAATTTAGAAAAAGAAACTATTATTTAAAAAAAATAAAATTTCTAAGTTCATAAAAAATATTAAAAATTAGCGGATCTAAACACACAAACTTACCTTCATGAACCAAATCACCCAGTGATATCCGTTTTCTTTCTATCAAAATATCACTCAACACTGTGTTTATATCTGTAGGCTTGAGGTCAATGGAGGGAGAAACACCACGTCGAAAATTTGATGATGCACCTGATGTGAACCATGTTTTATTAATCAACAGATATGTGAACGATGTTTTATTAATCAACAGATCTACAGGGCTATTGCTCAAATAATTTCAATGTATGATAAAATCTATATTCTGATGTGGTTTTTTTTTCATCTTTATAACAGTTCTATGTTTAATAAAACATTTGTATTCTTTATTCTCTTAACATGCTAAAGGTAAACACAGATAAATTGTAACAATAATAATTTATTTAAAATAGTAAGAGCAAAATGTTTACCTATTATATTTTTAAAATCCTGAGATGTTATTACAAAGGTATACAAACAAAATTAATAATTTTTTTGAGCAGTTTTCTAACAACACCTGCCCTTACCTGAGCCGCTAGCATTGTTTGGGGTGTCTGGCCTGAGGAAGGTTTGACTCTGTTGTCCAGTCAGAGCTTGAGAACTGCTACTGTCGCTAGGGAGAGACAGCAATGTGAGTACTTCAAAGTAACCAGCAGTAATGTGAATACTTCACATGTAGAGTAACAGCAATGGTAGTACTTCACATGTAAAGTAACTAGCTGTTGTGTGAGTACTTCACATGTAAAGTAACTAGCTGTTGTGTGAGTACTTCACAGGTAAAGTAAGCAATGTGAGTACTTCACATGTAAAGTAACTAGCTGTTGTGTGAGTACTTCACATGAAAAGTAACATGCTGTTGTGTGAGTACTTCACATGTAAAGTAACTAGCTGTTGTGTGAGTACTTCACATGAAAAGTAACATGCTGTTGTGTGAGTACTTCACATGTAAAGTAATTAGCTGTTGTGTGAGTACTTCACAGGTAAAGTAAGCAATTTGAGTACTTCACAGGTAAAGTAACTAGCTGTTGTGTGAGTATTTCACATGTAAAGTAACTAGCTGTTGTGTGAGTACTTCACTTGTAAAGTAAGCAATGTGAATACTTCATAAGTAGTAAAGTAACTTGCAGTAATATAAATACTTCACAAGTAAAGCAACAGCCATGTGAATACTTCACATGTGAAATAACTAGCAGCAATGTGAATTCTTCACAAGTAAAGTAATCAACTGCAATACAAATACTTCACAAGTAAAAGTAACAGTAATGCTAATAGTTCACAAGTAAAGTATGTCTCAAACTGTGTAACATAATCTTAAGAAAACTACCTATAACTATTGTGATGTAACTGGCTTAAGTAATGGTGCCTTATCTCAAGTAATGCAAATATCTTCAATAGTGTAACTATAAATCTCAAGTTATGTAACTATCTAAAACCATGTAATTATATGTCTTTAACAGTGTGACTATGACTCAAGAAAAGAAACTTGTCAAACTTGTACACAACGAATCTCTGGTCAAAACAGAAACAGGCTATTTGAAATGATTAATATTCCCAATGAATAATTGAGGCTATCAATCATGGGCTATTTTTAGCAGTCAGAAATTGAAGCCAGTTATGGGACTTGGGTGGATGTTCTATTGGTAGTCTGATGGATCAATTGGAGGATGATGGATTGCTGCGGATAGTGTTACATCACTGGTCAGGGAATTCGTTTTCTTCAATAGGGGCATTACTGATCTTATAAACTAGTCATTTTTAGATAAATCAAGTAGTCATTTTAAATAGTCAAACAACAGTCATTTTAATTAGGCGCATTATTGATCTTATAAACTAGTTATTTTAGATAAATCAAGTAGTCATTTTAAATAGTAAAACAATAGTCATTTTAATTAGGTGCATTACTGATCTATAGTCATTTTATATAGTCAAACAATAGTCATTTTAATTAGGTGCATTAGTGATTTTAAAAACTAGTCCTTTTAAATAGTCATATAAATGGTTAGAGAAATATTTATAAAAAGATGCTTCAGTGTACTGAGAAATATCATAACAGCAGTCAATTTAAATATGTCAAGAGAAATGTTGAGGTCAATTTAAATATGTTAAGAGAAATGTTGAGGTCAATTTAAATATGTCAAGAGAAATGTTGAGGTCAATTTAAATATGTTAAGAGAAATGTTGAGGTCAATTTAAATATGTTAAGAGAAATGTTGAGGTCAATTTAAATATGTTAAGAGAGATGTTGAGGTCAATTTAAATATGTTAAGAGAAATGTTGAGGTCAATTTAAATAGACCCAGATATACCTTGTGATCAGTTTAAATTAGTACTTCAGTGGGAAAGAAATTTGTAGTCAAATTAAAAATGCACAAATTATGTTAGGGAATAGTTGTAGCCAGTTATTGTACATACAGTCAAGATATCAAGTAGGCAACTGGTATCTATTTTAGTCGAAATTTTTTAAATTATAGAAGTTATGCCACAAAAGAGTATGGGAATGCACAAAAATATAATGTTTGGAATTGAAGTTTTATATAGTATATAATTATATAGTATATAATTATATAGTAAGTTAAAATCTAAATTAAGTCTAACAGTTCTTAATTTAATAACATTATTATCATTAATATTTTAAGTAAAATGAAAATCAGGATTTCTTGGGAGAGGAAATATTTGAAAAAACAAACTTACTAGCAATTTATTTTCTTTGAATAGCGGTCAGAGCCTTTTTGTGATTTGAGGTAGTATATGGTGACCCCCAGAGCAATTAGAATAATGACAGCACACGTACAGGCTACAGCAGCGTAGAAAATATGAGTGGACGTGGTCAAATCACCTTTTTCTTCAGACACTGAAACACAAGCAGAACAGGGGGGGGGGGGGGGGGGTGAATGTTGGTAAGGTCTTTTTTTTTATCTTTCTATACCTGTGGGGTAAACAGGTAAACCAATAGTGCTGCAACTAGGTGTGGGAAATAGTTTAAAAAGGGGAGCTTACCTGGATTTGTAGCAAGATGTGTCAATGTGAGAGTTGCATTATTAGATGTGAATTGGTACCTGCTGGAACCTTCTTTCTCTCTGGGAACCCACACAGAGTTTTCGTTTTCTAGAATTGTAAAAAAAAAAAAAAAAAAAAAAACCCCATGAAAACAATGCTTAAATTTTTTTTTCTCTGTGCTAAGCTGACATGAATGGATTAGAGAGAAGAAAAAAAATACTGATCATGAATGGAGCAGTTATGTCTTGAGGCAGTAAAAATGGGGGGTTATAAAAGTGAAGTATCTGGGAGCTGTGTCAGCCTGGGCCGGGGTGATGTTTATGGAGTTATTGAAAGAAAATAAAACCTGGTTGAATAAAATACAAGGGAAAGGTGGGATTTGTATCCTGTGCTGCCTGCTGCTTTTTTTTTTGTTTGACTGCATGGGTTGTTCTGCTGTAGGTATTCCTACACACACACACAATACACACACCACAAACACACCCAAACCCACCCCTACACACACCCACCACCACACACCACCCACCCCCACCCCCGCACACGTATATATAAATAAATACATTTTACAAACATATTAATAAAGACAAATATCCATTTCATTTTTCAGCATCTATCTCTAAGCAAGTTTTCCATTTAGCTCCCACTTCTAATATATCTGTTATACAGCATCCATCTCTAGTCTCCCACCCAACACCCGTCTCTACCATACAGCACCCATCTCTACCATCCAAGACCCATATCTAGACTACCATCCAGTACCCATCTCTACCATCCAGCACCCATCTCTACCATCCAGTACCCATCTCTACCATCCAGTACCCATCTCTAGTTTAGTTACCATCCAGCACCCATCTCTACCATCCAGTACCCATCTCTACCATCCAGTACCCATCTCTAGTTTAGTTACCATCCAGCACCCATCTCTACCATCCAGCACCCATCTCTACCATCCAGTACCCATCTCTACCATCCAGTACCCATCTCTAGTTTAGTTACCATCCAGCACCCATCTCTAGTTTACCATCCAGCAGCCTTCTCTACCATCCAGTACCCATATCTAGTTTAGTTACCATCCAGCACCCATCTCTAGTTACCATCCAGCACCCATCTCTACCATCCAGCACCCATCTCTAGTTACCATCCAGCACCCATCTCTACCATCCAGTACCCATCTCTACCATCCAGCTCCCTTCTCTACCTTCAGCACCCATATCTACCCATCCAGCACCCATCTCTAGTAACCATCGAGCACCCATCTCTAGTAACCATCGATCACCCATCTCTACCATCCATCACCCATCTCTACCATCCAGCACCCACCTCTACCATCCAGTACCCATCTCTAGTTACCATCCAGTACCCATCTCTAGTTACCATCCAGTACCCATCTCTAGTTACAATCCAGCACCCATCTCTACCATCCAGCACCCACCTCTACCATCCAGTACCCATCTCTAGTTACCATCCAGTACCCATCTCTAGTTACAATCCAGCACCCATCTCTACCATCCAGCACCCATCTCTAGTTACCATCCAGCACCCATCTCTACCATCCAGTACCCATCTCTACCATCCAGCTCCCTTCTCTACCTTCAGCACCCATATCTACCCATCCAGCACCCATCTCTAGTAACCATCGAGCACCCATCTCTAGTAACCATCGATCACCCATCTCTACCATCCATCACCCATCTCTACCATCCAGCACCCACCTCTACCATCCAGTACCCATCTCTAGTTACCATCCAGTACCCATCTCTAGTTACCATCCAGTACCCATCTCTAGTTACAATCCAGCACCCATCTCCACCATCCAGCACCCACCTCTACCATCCAGTACCCATCTCTAGTTACCATCCAGTACCCATCTCTAGTTACCATCCAGTACCCATCTCTAGTTACAATCCAGCACCCATCTCTAGTTACCACCCATCTTTACATCCAGTACCCATCTCTAGTCTAACATCCAGCACCCATCACTAGACTACCATCCAGCACCCATCTCTGACTACCAGCACTCATCTCTGGTATACCATCCAACACTCTTCTCTAGTCTACCATCCAGCACCTATCTCTACCATCTAGCACCCATCCCCAGCACCTATCTGACAAGTCTAACTACCCTCCCTCCTCCCACATTCCCCTGCAGTAATAAAAAAAAACAACATGCTCTCCATCAGGTATTGTTCGTCTCACTGCAACTGTCATAACAAACGAATTCACGGAAATTTTGCGAAAACTAATCAGTCATAATTATCCCCCTGCCTCCATCCCCCACCTTTTGTTTTTTAACCCTCAGTCCAATAGGGAGTGTGTTACACTGGAGTTAATTTCTCCCCAGGTTTGTGTGGCGCGTGTAGGCTCGCGGATAATGAGGAGGCAAACGGAACCGTCTACCTGAGCACCTGGCACAATCTTTTACCCTCGTTCTGACAGCCCCCCGACTATTCACCAAGTTTCAAAATGTAGACAGGTTACTTATGGGAGGGATATCTTTGCAGAAACTATGAAAAAAAAAAACTGGTGGGGAAAAAAAAAATTGCCGAATCGCAATGTTTGAGGTGAGGTTTAAAAATAGAGAAGAAACCGAAGTAGAATGTCACAAGAAGTTCTGATTCCTATCTTTACAGTAGGGGGTAATGATGAACGTGTAGTAACAATATCCCAAATATTTCCTCTGCCCTGCTTCGTTAGCTCTCGCAGCCCGAGCAATGGGCCAGTAAACTAAATATTGTCTGTCGTTTAGCGCTCCCAGTTGACTAGAGAAGATGCCAGCTCGGGATCCGCGTGACGGGGTTACCTGCGGCGGTTGACGGCTGAGGCTCATGCTACGGCGAGCCTGACGGTAAATACGAGTCAGCTTTGACAAGCCGGGCCGGCCACAGAGTAGCGGATAACGACTTCTCCAGGCGATGGTGGCGCCTCCCTCAGAGAGCTGGTAGAGCCACCCTCAGAGAGCTGGTAGAGCCACCCTCAGAGAGCTGGTAGAGCCACCCTCAGAGAGCTGGTAGAGCCACCCTCAGAGACCTATTCAACCATCAGTGACCTACAACCACCATCAGAGACCTACCACCACCCTCAGCGACCTACCACCACCCTTAGAGACCTACAATACCATCAGTGACCTACCACCACCCTCAGCGACCTACCACCACCCTTAGAGACCTACAATACCATCAGTGACCTACCACCACCCTCAGAGACCAACCACCACCCTCAGCAACCTACCACCACCCTCAGAGACCTACCACCACCCTCAGCGACCTACCACCACCCTCAGAGACCTACCACCACCCTCAGCGACCTACCACCACCCTCAGCGACCTACCACCACCCTCAGCGACCTACCACCACCCTTAGAGACCTACCAGCACCCTCAGAGACCTATCACAACCATCAGTGACCTACAACCACCATCAGAGACCTGGTAGAGTCACCCTCAGAGAGCTGGTAGAGCCACCCTCAGAGACCTGGTACCACCACCCACAGAGACCTATCACAACCATCAGTGACCTACCACCACCATCAGAGACCTGGTACCACCACCCTCAGAGACCTACAATACCATCAGTGACCTACCACCACCATCAGAGACCTACAATACCATCAGTGACCTACCACCACCATCAGAGACCAACAACCACCATCAGAGACCTACAATACCATCGGTGACCTACCACCACCCTCAGAGACCTACCACCACCATCAGAGACCAACAACCACCATCAGAGACCTGGTACCACCACCCTCAGAGACCTACAATACCATCAGTGACCTACCACCACCATCAGAGACCTACAATACCATCAGTGACCTACCACCACCATCAGAGACCTACCACCACCCTCAGAGACCTACCACCACCCTCAGAGACCTACCACCACCCTCAGAGACCTACCACCACCCTCAGAGACCTACAATACCATCAGTGACCTACCACCACCCTCAGAGACCAACAACCACCATCAGACCTACCACCGCCTTTAGAGACCTACCACCACGCTCGGAGACCTACCACCACCCTCAGAGACCTACCACCACCCTCAGAGACCTACCACCACCCTCAGAGACCTACCACCACCCTCAGAGACCTACCACCACCCTCAGAGACCTACCACCACCCTCAGAGACCTACCACCACCCTCAGAGACCTACCACCACCCTCAAAGACGTACCATCACCCTAAGAGACCTACCACTGCCACCAGAGACAAGACGGTACACACACAAGGCGGTACACACATGTACATACACACGACAGTTCACACACACGACAGTACACACACGACAGTACACACACACGACAGTTCACACACACGACAGTACACACACACGACAGTTCACACACACGACAGTACACACACACGACAGTTCACACACACGACAGTACACACACACGACAGTTCACACACACGACAGTACACACACACGACAGTACACACACACGACAGTTCACACACACGACAGTTCACACACACGACAGTACACACACACGACAGTACACATACACGACAGTACACACAATACGGTACTCACACAAGAAGTTGCACACAATGGAGAACCAAAAGGTTAAAAAATTGTTCGTTGATTTTTACTGCATTTTGTGTGTGGACTATGCTGTTAGTGCATTGTCGGACCAGACGGTCCATGAAGAAGATGAAGTAGAGTCTATCAATTTCTCTATATTATGAGTGCAAATGGATATTGCTAAGCCACATTTACTTTCCCCCATCCAGGTCTGGTGCATATCTGAGATAAAAACCAAGGGACTGAACCTGTGTAACGATCTCAAAACCACCCCGCCCCTGACTGTGCATCTCTTTTTTTTTTTTTAAATAATGCTAAATATTTGTTTCTGCTTCTTAAAATCCCTCCTGTTCAATGTTTTCCCATAATTTGAAATCTATCTAGACCAGGGGTCGGCAACCTGCGGCTCGCGAGCCGCATGCGGCTCTTTTGGTGTCAAGATGCGGCTCTCCAGTTCCATTCACAAATATTAATAATTATTTTATATTATTTTTAAAACTCATTAAAACTATTATAGAGAAAAACAACAACTTTAAACAGGATAAAAACACTCATCAGAGTATACAGCCAGCTAACAGCCGC